TTTTTTTTTCCTTATAAAATTTTAGGATTTTTCGTTCTTTTTTGAAAGATGTTTACCTTACCATAATTTTGGAAATAATCATTAGTGTATTGCTCCATCGTTTTTTCTTCTTTTTAAGATTATTTCAAAAAAAAAAATTTTTTTTAGTTGTGTTTAACAATAAAAAAACGGCTTTTTGTAGCGATTCAGAAAACCGGAAAAATCAGTTATCCAGAATAGTGATGGTCCCAATCGTTCCGGATAATCGTTTCCCTACTGTATACATACGTACATATATATATATATATACATACATACATATATATACATATATATATTAAAAATTATTATTTTACAGATTTAGTACTGATAAACAACCTATTTTAACTTTGTATATTGGCAAACAGGTAACATAATTTTTTAAAGAACATTTATACTAAATCTTCATAAAGTACTTATTAATAACATTTTCTGCTGGCAAAAATCGTATCTCTAAGACAGTTTCATCCAGTGGGTTTTTTCAGATTGGATCCATTTGAAAAAACTCATTTTTATAACTATTAAGTGGATTTTTTTAAATTTTATCTAATAAATTTTCACTGCAATTATAAAACCATATAGTTCTTTGAAACTATCAACTATTTTAATAAATTTAACTCAGTAGCTTTTTTACAAAACTAAAGTAAAACATATTTCAAAAATCTGATTTTTGTAAATAAAATTTAATATAAATGAACAAAATTTTGCATAAAATAAATCACAAAAAAAATTGCTTAGTTATGCTCTTTATCTATAAAACAAATTATAGGCAATATGCACACACATAACATTTACTGCATAATTTATATGGATTGTAAACCCTTCAGAGTTTGTTAAAATATACCTACCAATGGATAGATATATTTAATCAATATTTCATGATGAATATATATTTTTACACAAAGACTGCAGAAATTAATTTTCCAGTTAAAAAAAATATCTGTAATGAGTATTTTAAAAGATCAAAATATCTCCTCTTTTTTATTTTAAGATTTTTATTATAGACTGTACTTGCTTCCATATATTGCACCTTTTGAAAAAAATCAATGTTTAAAGATAAAAGTTTAAAATATTAATTTGGTAGAAAGCCATTAATAATAATACCAATTTTAAGCATCTCTTCTAATTACTCAATTATTCTCTGATGATAGCTGACTAGAAATAATATTTTCTAATTTTTGATTAATTCTGTTTCAACTATAAAATCACTTGGACAGTGTCCTTGTGGCAGAACTTTTTCAACCTATTTGAGATAAAAGCACTAATATCCTTCTGCAAAATACTTTCAATAATAAAAAACATACACGTTGCTAATTTAAAATAACAAAGCACTGTGTTTATATAAAAAAAAAACTATATATAATGTTTTTAATTGAACATGCAATAATTTTTTATTTTAATATTATGGGTGGTACTCTTGCATTTTGTTGGGGGTGGGGGGAACACACTAATTACTTCCTTCTTTGTATTACTATGCAAATAATCATCACAATAAAAATATAATTAAAAAAATTGTGAAATTCGTAGTTGTCATTCCAGAAAAAAAGATTGACAATGAAATCATGTGAATCGGACTCCTAATAAAAGGAAATACTCAAATGGGTGCTTTATTTTGAGATTAGGTTGTTGTAATAAATATCGTATAAAAAAAATATTGGATTTAAAAACTATGCAGAAATCAATAGCAATAACTACCAAAAAATCGATAGAACCATTGCTTTTAATAAATAAAAAAATTCTCAATATTATTTAAAAAATATAATATACAACCGAAACAATTTCTATCGAGACATTACATCGATTTACGATACTATCGGCGTAAATAGAGAACGTCAAAAAGTGATTTAAATGCATGATTCAAATTTTAAGTAAAAATTTCCGTGGAAAAGACAAATAAAACATTGTACTTTTAAAAAAGAAAAAAAAAATCTTTCTGCAAGAACTCTGCAAAATTATGCGACAATGTTGCCGTGTCGCTGAGATTCTGCCACCGGGTAAAGTGTTATGTCTAAATATTTCAATAAAAAGGAAACAACACTTTCTGATGCTTCAAAACTTTTAGTTTAAGAAAAAATTATCATGACACTTGAGATTAAGTTTATATTTTAACGAGTACTACTAGAAATATATTTCATTTAATATCTATGAAACTGCCGGCCAGGTGGCCGAGCGGCTAGCGTGCCTGACTGCGAAGCCATAGGCTGCGGGTTCGAATCCCGCTCTGGGCATGGATGTTTCTCTCTCTCTTTGTGCTGTCCTCTGTTGTATGTGTGTATGATGTGTGAATGTGGCCCACCCTATAAACGGGTTTGTGGCAGAGTGGCGTGGGCAATGTTGCTCGCCTCCGTGACTTTGGTTCACAGGTGCCCACTGGGTAACGCGAAATGAGCAACAATTCTGGCATAGTATAGGCAAAGATTTAAATTCAGTGCCTGCCATTGAAAAAAAAAAAAAAAAAAAATATTTGTGAAACTTATTTTTATTTGCAAATATTTTATTTGGTAAAAATTTTGTTAATTGCAAAAGGAAGATTAAATTATAAAGTGATATCATTCATATAATGTACTGGATATCATAAAATTGTTTATTAATGGAACATGAATGCATATTGTAGACATTGGTTGTTCATGGTAAGTTCATTCGTACATAATTAATAATCATTAACTTTTTTGCAAAGGTGATTTTTTCAGGAAAAAAAAAAAGGTTTCCTACTTAAATTTCATGAAACCTCTAATAATGAATGAAATATAGAAACAATAATCTGAAGTATAATAACAAATAAATATTGAATCTTATTTTGTACTAATAACGGTTTTATTTTAATGTTTTGTCTTTGTTTAAACCCTATAAATTTTCTTCAATTTAAATATTTAACTTGAATTGATATTATTCATAAAAATATACAATTATAGCTTTAATTTTTATACTCTCATTCTAACATTTTTTTTTTAAAGTTTGAATTTATTTTAAAATAATTTCTTGTACTAAGCGATTTGACAAAAACCCATTTCTTTTACCCAATTTTTATATATTTTTTAATATATCAAGTTTTCATAAAAAGGGAATTATTTAAAAAAAGTATCAGTTTCTTTCTTTTTGAACAAATTTTAATAATTATAAATTACAGGTTTACTGATAAAAAATGTAAACAATAATCAACTCATATAGAGCTGAAGTTTTTTGGAAACATAAATTTTTGTATAAAATTCTCAATTTGCTGTCTCCTCTGTGACAATAGTTCATTAACTTTGAAAGTCAAATTTATAAAAAAATTCTTTTTACACTTTTATACATTGATTTAACTAAGAAAAACCTGTAAGTCCCTTCCATAACATGTTATCAAATTTTTAAAAATTCAATTTGTTAATTAAAATAATTTTCAGAATTACTTGGCACCCTTTTATTTTTCTTTTGCAGTCAAATAGTGCTAATTCACTTTAAAAATTATAAGGAAATTTTTTAATTATTAAAAATTATAAAAACTCCAAGTATAAGAGCAGAAACTTCATTTGAAATATAGATTTTTAATTTAGGTCAATTTCGCTATTTCCTCAGAAACAATATCTAATTTTCAAAAAAAGTAAAATTCATGAAAATATCTAAATTTACTGCTTTAAAAAAATTACTAAGAAAAATCTGGACTTCCTAAGAAAAATTTCAAAAATAAATTTTCCTTTTTAAAATAATAAAACTAAGCCCAAAATGTCAGGGACATTTCTGTATCGTGAACTGTCTCGCCAACTACAATTGCCAAACAGATTTTAAACTTGCAAATTTGTTTAAAAAAATCTGTAGATATTTGCCCGGGGCGGCTATGAGTTATACCTTTCGAGTTGGTCCCTTTCTGTGATGTTTTTTTTAGTTTCTCGCTGGCCATTGCTCGGAAGTTGCCCAGGCTTTGCTATTATTCTGCCACAGATCATGTTACGGATATCTCTTCAAAATGTCCTGGCCACAATCTCTTCGAATGTGGAATAAAACAATACCGAAATTACATAAAAGATGCCAGTTAGTCAACATATTTTGGGACATTAATGCAAAATTACACAACAAAATAGTGAAAGCACTGCTATAACAATACTAAAAAATCACATATCTGTTAACGGTTTGGACCTTAAACACAATTTTGATCATCTTTTACAGAAATAGTTTTTGATTTCTTATAGGGATCTTGATTTTCAGATTCTACTAAGACACAAATTAAAAAAGTACTTAACTTACTTAAATAAAACAAGATGAAATTTTTCATGAGTAAGAATAGTCTTTAATATTTCTTAAATCATTCTGATTGTATCTGATTTTCATTCTAGATCTAACGAGATAATATATACACATTTTTAACAAAAAGAAATATCTAAACAATTTACTTTTCATTAGTCTTGAAAATAACAACACATCAAATTTGAGTTCATAAAACAAAATTATGATTTCTAAGGCAATTGGGTGATTCAAAGAAGCGTTTAGTTTAATATTTTGGAGAAATTTTAGAATCGAATTCTACTTACTTTTAAAATTAATATGAAATTAAGATATAAGAGTAAGTCTGTAAACAAGCTTATGATTATGATTTTAACAACGTCAAAAGCAAGAAACGATAAATTACGATATTTTACTGAAAGCAAAGCTGGCGCGAAATTACTAAACGTTTATTTGTTTCCATTTGAATCAATGAAATGAAACTACAGTTTATAGGAAATGTAAACTTCGCTTACAACTCTATTTTTTTTTATTTCAAATGGGGTCCCTTTGCGTGACGTAAAAGTCACGTGGTACAATAGATAGCCGCATTGATTTGTCAGTGGTTATTACAATATCGATGGTAGACTGAAGGTAAACAATGTCATGCTTCGTAAGACCCGAAGAAATTTAGAAAACTTCTGGTGTATCCCTCCGCTTATGTTTGTTATGCTTACGAAGCGATGTGTGAACAAGCTTAATATTCTTGGAAGTTTTATTAATGTGATTTATGTTTACATTTGCGCGTAATTTTATCATTCATAAAAGTTTTCTGTAATTTATAAATTCTAACAGGTCGTGAGCCAATCACAGCATAAATAAAGTACATGGTTAGCTATATATTAAGTGTTATCCTTTAGTTGGCTATATTTATGTAAAATAGCAACGTTTGCTATATTTTAAGTATCATCATAGGAAACTTGCGCAATCTTCCAAATTCATTTGTTGTTTGTTTTGTTAAAGCTAGATTGGAAGAACGTGTTATATGGAAAACACTACAAGTATAATAATATTGAATGGTGCGTTTTTTTTTTAAGCTTAGGCATAAAAATCAATCTGAAATAGCTACCCGCACGACGAATTTTAACCCGTAGAGCCATCGGTGCTTAGCTTCACACGGTCAACCATCCATAAGACATTACAAGATTGATAATTAATTGTAATAGTTTCTTGACAACATTGAATTCGTGATTAATTAAATTATAAATTTTAAGTTGTTTGTTGCTGTATTTGTTTATTTACGTCACATTAGACCGGTACAATGAGTTATTGACGACGGTATGGGAAACTTCCCTGAGAATGCATCGAAGCCATCCCATAACAAATTTGATACTCTGTGGAGGGAATGGCTCCCCCGTTTTGGTAGCCCAATGACTTGAGCATGAAGTCGTACACTTTACAGTGGAACATTTTAATGAGAACCGATAACGCACACTCTCGGTCCCTTCGCAGCCTGATCAAAGTGGTCACTTCCCCCACAGAAACCACAGCCAATGATGCTTGACTTTGGTGTTATACTGGGAATTGTAGCATACGATCAGTCCACCGCGGGACTCTTCATACATTTCTTATGAGAATATTTTTTATTATTATTATTCAACCACAGAATGGTTTTCTTTTATAAATAGTTTTATTAATACTTGTTCATCATATACTTTTATTCCATGCTTGTCTTTCCTCTTTAAATATCCTTTACGTGCAAGATATCAATTTTTTTAATTAAAGTAATTTAAATTAAATTAACATTTTACATAATGTCAAAGCTATGCATATATATAGCTGTTGCCGAGAGGAAGAAAAAGAGCAGGGGAAGAAGACATTCTATAATAGAAATCATCCAGGTGACCCACAAATCGAAATGCTCTCCTGCAAAAATTTGGGAAAATCTTGCAAATAGTCCCGTAATAATGTTTTGTCTTTGAGAAAACCTGAGTAATTACAATTGGTTTGGTAAATATGTCAAGGTAAAAATATATTTCTCATAGTTATTAAAGGAAAAACTGTAAAATGTTAAAAAATTAATGCGTTACTTGAAGCCAAAAATAGATTAAAAGACAGGATGTGAATACTAAAGAGTGAGAAAGCGCTTAATGTAGAATAATAATATAATAATTTAAAAAGAAGAATTTAGATAAAGAAATAACAAAAGATTATTCGAAGTTTTTTTATGTTACACTCATATATATATATATATATATATATATACAGTGGCGTACGCAAGGGAGGGGTTTAGGGGTTTAAACACCCTTCTTGAGCTCAGACAAAATGGCAAAAATAAAAATTTTAGTAAAAATTATGCGAGCTATTATTTTTTAAGAATATATATTTTTATTGGCCTTATTCCTACTTTTTTTTCTCACGGTATTTCTCAGAATACTGAAAAAACATTTATTATAATAGGGTTGTACTTTTGAAACCAAATTCACGTGATACTGTTACGGACTGGTTCCTTTCTGTCCTGCCAGTATAGTTTTCGAGACTGACTATCATTCGCGAGATCTTGACGCGATGATTCTGGAATCCTAGACGTTCTGTCGTCTTTGAGACAATTCGAGTATTTTGGAGATGTGGTGAAAAATTATATAAAAGGGGGAACGGGGTACAGTGAAGTTAGCCGCTTGTATTTCGGAACTTGTCGCTAAATCTGTTTTGTTTTATCTTAACAAAAAGTTCATTCAATCGCCGAACCCGTCGTCGCCACTATTTCGACTAGTGAAGAAATCAGTAATAATACCATTCGAGATATTGTGCTCGTTGAAGTTATTCATTCCAGCTCGAAACTTTAAGATCGTATCATAGCGGATATTTCTGTGCCAATATATATATATATTGTTCTTGGATCTTTAGGATGTCAAAACGCAAGAATTTAACAATTTTTAATTATTTTGCGAAAAAACCGCGACCTGAAATTAGGGAGGTGACAGCATCTAGTACCAATGTAAGTTTTTCTGCTGTACAGAAATGTGATACTTCCGTTGAAGAAAACGTTTCTAGCATAACAAAATCTGATGAATGTGAAAG